GATCATTAGAATATTGATAATAATTCTCGAGAATCATAAAAAATCTATTCTATGAGAATTGGATCGTTGTATATGTTCTTATGTCCACTGAACGATTTCCGTCTGTATGTTTTTTGAAATTAATTTTCTGAAGACCCCAGATATCTTCGAAATCTAATTCTGTCATACATGCTTTCGAAAAGTTTCCTATTTAAAATCAACAAAATCGATCCATAAATAACGGAGATATGATCAAAAATCCCAGACAACCTCGGAAAATTTCATCAAATAATTAAATTTTTTTGTGCAACAACAACATACAGCTGCATGTTTGTATTTATTTTGATGGTTTATAGAAACAGAACAAGAAAAACAAATTATGTTTAAAGCTGTTTTTATTATTTTGTTAATGTCAAAAGCAAGGATTGAAAATTGTGTGTGAGAAATTATAGCAATAAGAAAAAATTAAAAAAAAATTGTTTTAAAAATTAAAAAAAAATTATTTGTAACTCTGTACTTTTTCGTTCTGTAACAGGTATTTTATATAAGTCTTCTATAATATTGAATCTAGAAACATGAAATTAAGCATGTTAACCTATAAAAGGGTTCCTTTTGGTAATTCTTCGTTTTTTTTTTAAGGTATTCTTTGAATTTTCTATAATATTGAACCCAGAAATATAAAATTAGGCGTGTAGAGTCCCCGGAGTAAATGAGAACCTAGAGGCAATATATCGTTCTTAAATTGTTACTTTTTGAATCTTTTTTAATATTAAATCTAGAAACATGGAATTAATTACACAGCGTCCTGATTGAATGAAAATCTATAAAAGGGAACTTTCTGGTACCCTGGTACTGAATATTCAAAATTATCTGGTCCAAGTCGTAGATAGAACAAGCGGAACGAAGCCAATAAATATAACCTTTAGACTTCTCAAATTTGCAAATTCAATACTTCAGAAAACTCTGGACTCTGTTTTAAAGCTTTTAAGCTTTTTCTATCAGTGTATGCTGATCTGCAAATACATATAGAAATATTTATGAATATTTTTCAAAATATAAATCTAACAAAATACATATAGACATTTATTTTTAAAATGAATACATAATATATTATGAGGTCTAACTCAAAAGTATTTAATAATCTAAAAAATTAAAAAAATATCACTACAACAATTATACAATTTTTCGAAATAGTCATAGATATTTCAAAAAATGCATGGCATTGAAATTTACAATTAAAAATTTATGTTGAATTCGTTCCGAAGTAATAATGTGAAAGTTGTTGATGGCATTTCTAGTTTCATTTAAAACAATCATTTCTTCCACATATTTCCCATAAACACTTTTGCGATAACCCTCGTTTTCAAAATTGTTTGCACAATAATTTTTATTAAAAAATATGAATTTATTTCATTTTTGTTTTTCTCATGTTCATTTACAAATTATACGAAAACAATCAAAAAATTCAATGTACAAGCAGATATTTTGTTTGTTTTATTATTATTCCCAAATTAAAAAAAAAATTAAATTGAAAAAAAGAAATGAATTTCAAAATTTTCAAATGCTCGTGTTTGTGCACATACAATAAAGAAATGCTGTAATGACTCAAATTCAAATTCAGAAAAAAAGAACCTATTATATTTTGGCAAACATTATTATTTCAAAATTGTTTTATTTTTTCTGTTATTAATAGTTGTAAAGATGTGTATTAGACCTTAAGGCGGATATTTCATTATCACTGTTTTTTGAAATACATACATATGTATAGGAATAAGTATACTCTTATTGAGGTAATTTTTAGCACCTTAAATTTAATTATTATTTTTTTCTTTTCATTCGATTAAGGAAATGAAATTTTCATAGAACCGTTTAATTTTTTCGTTTTGGGAAATTTGATTTCTTAACATTGCTGCTGTTTGAACTTTTATTTAAAAACATTTTAATTAAAGCTGTTTTATGCTAAATCATATTAATTTTATATTTTTTTTAATATATAATAGTTTACTCAAATACTGCGTATTACAAATTAAAAAAAAAAAAACAAATTTGAATTTCATATTTTCTAAGTTCTTGGAATCAAAATTATATAATTATGAAAATTCTCCAAAACAAAATAGCCAAAGGACATCATCTGTATTCTCTCATTATAATAAAGTACATTTTAGTCAATATAAAAAGTATTTACGCTTTAGTTCTTGTGTACCAATAAAGAACGAAAAAGTCCCTTTTTTCAGAATCTCATTTACTAATGTATGTTTAAGTTAATGTTTTCATTTTATAAAAGAAAAATTAGTAAATAGAAGTCTCATATACATTGTCAGACTATGTAGTTTTCATAGGCTTAGACTCCATATTATTGAAAATTCAAAAAGGGTTATTTGAAGAACAAAAAAGTACCAATAAGTAATAGTACAGATTAGGTTCTAATTCAATCAAACCGATTTGTGTTTAAGCGTAAGTTCTACATTATAGAAAATTAAAGAACAAAAAAGTACCAAAAGTACGTTCATTTTCGACAAGACGGGAATAATCCAAAAAAAAAGTAATTTCAAAGTCGATCTCATGAGGAAAATATATATATCCTCATTCTATCGGTACCAGGTATATTCAAATTCTTGTAAATTCTGCTTGTGTGTAAAGTACTATTTATTTGTACAAAAAGTACATTTGAATAAGTAGCAAATTATTGACTTGATTTTGTTCCTAAACAAAATCCAAACAGCACAACATTGTAACTAAATCTGTCAATTGGTTCAACCCATCTTAAAGTGGGTGTAGCACCTATACATGTTCGCCCGTCCATCCGTCCGTGTATCTATGTAAACCAACAGGCCCCCTTGGGCCAGACAAGCGTATGTCTGGCGTATGTCAAGGGCCTCTTGAAAATGGTTGAAAACGGTCCATTATTTCACCTAGTCCCCATACAAATGAAACCCAGCTCCCTTACAAAGTCCCCTTCAGAAAATTACTTGAATAACCATAATTTACTGATAACTACTAATACTGCGATGAAATTAAGCACAAATAAATATTGTATAAACATAAATCTATCAACTAAACTTTATCGAGATCGGTCCATATTTGCTACTATCCATCAAATGAAGCTCATTTAGTAAATATTTTTATAACTCGGAAACAAGTTAATATTTATGATAAATGATTTTTTATGAAAAATAAATCAAATTTAATATTCATAACTGGTGTAGGATATCTGTTTTAGTTTAGGTTACCAAATTTTCTCGTTTTTCCCCCTTTTTTATCCCCTAAACCCTTGCTAACCAGGTTTTTAAGTAGTATTTCACTAATTAGTATAGTAGGTTAGAGTTTTTAGGGAAAAATCCCAGAGCTGATTGGACAAGTATTAGAATTAGTTTAAGAGCATCACTAGCAGATTCATGGAATTCTAATCCAGCATAAACTTACATTGAAACGTAAGGGATTAAAATGCTAAAATTTACTTACACATTGGCATTTTAAGTCATTATTTTAATGATGTCATTGGAGGCAAGTATTTACCATGCTCGCTTACAAGAAGAGATTTAGATAAGTAAGTAGTTTTGTTTTTGAGAAAAAAATAGATCGTCTACTTTTAATTTTTGACAAAAAAAAATATTTTTATTTTTTTCGTTTTTGTAAAAAACAATATTCAAGGCTAAATAGTAAGTACTTACATATATAGTTATTTGTAAGTCATTATTAGTATCCTTAAGTACATGTCGTTACCGAGTTTTTGCTGGGTATGTAATGAACAACCATTCTAGTATCTGTGTTTTAATGCAGTATTTAAAATTTGAATCTAAAATTCTGGGTCCAAGTCTAGAACGAATCCTTATTTAAGAATTAATACTGATTTAGTACTAGTAAGATCGATCTTCTGCTGGTATTATAGTTTAAATATAATAAATCCCAAAATATATTAATTTTTAAATGTTTTAGTTTGAGACACTTAATGGTCTGGGGTCTTTATAATAGTATTTGTCCATTAATTATTTCTTTTTGTATCCTGTTGTACAAATTATTATGTTCACATTCCAATTATATTTAAGAACAAAATTTATGTTGAACAGAAAAAATACATTTTCTTTAGGGCAGTTGCAACATTAATTTTGTGGTCCTACCAACCTAATGTTCAGAATAAAAGACCTAGGATGCACCTTATTAATTGTAAATATCGTTAAAATTTGGTTGGTTTAAGATCAACATTTATAAAACTTTTTATTTTTTCAAAAAAAGTGTTTTTGTTCAAAATCATATAGACAAATTTGTAGTTTTACTTTTAAAAATTCTGTTATGATATTCAATACAAATTTAAACAAAAATAATACAATAACAAATACCAAAACTTTTATTTAGAACATATTGTGCATTTTATATACTCTATACACAAAGCAACAACTAAATTGAGTTTCCAAAAATTTATAAAAAAAATATATTTTGTATATAGAACACACATACAAACAATGTTCTATACAAAACAAAACAACCCACATATATAATATATTTAAACATTTTTTTAAATTTCATTAAACAGTGAATTTTTTTACAACAAAAAATACTAATTTTTTAATAATAAAAATTTTTTTTTTTTTTTGATAGGAAAAACAGTTCTCGGAGAAGAAAAACAAAATTTCCACATACACAATTTTTTGTTGTGTTTTTTTGTATCTATTTCTGATTAAAAACTATTTTTAGAAAATGTGCCCAGATACATACAATAGATAATAAACTCTTGTTTGTTTTTTCTTGCTCTTTTACAATTATTTTTTCAGATTTATTTTATTTAAATGTTTAAGAAAGAGAGTGTGAAAAGTGTAAAATTTTGAAAGAAATTTTTGAAATTTTCAAAAAGAATAGAAAATATAGAAAAAGCACAATGGGTTTTAGAGTTCTTAGGGGGAATTTGAAAGAACTTTTATATAGATGGCCACCCTGTTTGGCTAAAGGAGAGCAGGCGCAGTTGTTGAGGAGACTCTCTTTTTTGCTTTTATATGGTAATTGGGGGGGGACTGCAAGGGGCAGCTGAGCAAAATAATGATCAACGGGAAAAATGATCTGTAGTGAGTTTCTGACAAAAATATAGTCTGCCGTTAGTCGTCGGACCGTTCAGTCTTTTCGTTCGAAACAGTGCTTAACGAGTTGTGTGTTAGATCGCACACCTTTTTTTAAATTTCCTTTAAAGGTGAGTGATGTGAAAATGATAAATGAAAACTGAAAACTGATGATGGCGTAGCTAATGCTTTAATGCAGCAAAAAAAAAAACTATAAATAAAGGAGCTTGAATAAAAATTAAAAAAAAAGAAGAAATAACTCTTAAAGAAAAAAGTGTTAAAAAAAGAAAATTTTAAAAATTTTATGGAAAAAAACGAAGTGCAATAAAAAAACTGGGCTGTATGGTTTATAAGAAAAAAATTATTAAAGACGTTTCCTTTTTTTAAAGAAATTTTTATGGATTTTTCTAAAAAGTGTTGAAAGTTTTTTTTAAGGAGTTTTTTTTGTAACTGAAGTTGGTTTTAAAAAATTTTATTAATTTTCTTTGAATTTTATTTTTTATAAAAGTGATTGCATAATTTTTGAGTGTGTGTATATTTTTTTTATTTTTATACAAAATTGTTATACACACTTGAATATATATATTTTTCGAAAAAAAAAAACTTTGTGTGTGTACGTTGAGCATTTAAAATAAATTAAAAATAAAAACCGACAAAATATCGAATGCCAGCTAATGAAATTTTGAACTGAAATCTTTGCAACCTTAAAGCAACTAACGCATCCAACGTTAAAGTAGGAAAAATAATTTGAAAAATGGCGAACGAAACGGAATATTATGAAAAAAGAAATTGAAAATTAAAATTTTTATAAGAATTTTTTCAAACACTAAAATAAAAATAATGTTGCGTATAAAACAAAATTTCAATCAAAATCTAAAAAAAAGTTTTGTATAAAAAAGTTTTTTTGTGATCTTTTTTATAAGAAAAACTTTTATTGAGATCAGTTTTAATAGAAAACTATTTTAAGATCAGTTTTTATTTTAGAAAACTGGTTTTGCGTTAAATTTGCTATGGAAATCTTGTCTTATGATAAGTTTTCTATACAAAAAAGAAAACTTCTCATAAGATCAGTTTTGTATAGTATATTGTATCTTATCGTGCGATCAGTTTTTTTTTATAGAAAACTAGTTTTGCTTTCACTTTTCTATAAAATGATGTCTTACAATATGTTTTCTATAAAAAAAACTTCTTATAAGATCAGTTTATAGATCTTCTATGAAAATCTTATCGTGAGATCAGTTTTTTTATAAAAAACTTTAATTGCGATCACTTTTCTATAGAGAACTTGTCTTGCGATCAGTTTTCTAAACATTTCTAGTGATAATTTGACAAAAGTAGACATAGAGAACTTATCTGTCGATCAGTTTACTAAACTTGTCTAGTGATATTTAAACAAAAGTCATTATATAGAGATAACTTGTCTAGCCTTCTAGATAATACTGATTTTACAATAATTTTTCAATGTTAAAAAACTTTTTATAAGATCAGTTTAAAGATCTTCTATGAAAATCTTATCGTGAGATCAGTTTTTTTTATAAAAAACTTTACTTGTGATAACTTTTCTATTGATAAATATAACAATATAGCAAACTTGTCTTGCGATCCGTTTTCTATCATGCTATAGATAGAAAACTTATCTCGCGATCAGTTTTCAATCATTCGATCAGTTTTCTAAACATGTCTAGTGATAATTAGACAAAATTAGACTAAGGGAACTTATATTGCGATCAGTTTTCTATCTGTCGATCAGTTTACTAAACTTATCTAGTGATAGTTAAACAAAAGTCGTTATCTAGAGATAACTTGTCTAGCCTTCTATATAATACAGATCTTACGATAATTTTTCAATGGTAAACATAACTGGCGATCAGTTTTATTATGAATTATGTTTATGAACAAGACAGTAATGAATTTAAAATTTGTTACTGAATAATACATTTAAATAAAAATTTAATTTTATTTTATTAAAATTTAAATAATATTTTAATAAATCTCTTTAAAAAAAAATTTAAAATTTCTTAACAAAAATCTTAATTTATTTGCCTCAAATGTTTTTTTCTATTTTCAAGGTCTTTGTTTTTCAAATCTCTTATTTCAAAAATATGCAAATACTTGTACACACATAAGTAGTAAAAATTCTATACTGTATAGTCAGTCTCCTTTACTTTTCGTAATGGCGTCGTCTTTATATCTTTTTCTGTTTTTTCTTTTTGGCTAACAAATGAGTTTTTTTTTTTTTTGTATTTAAAACAAACTATTTTTAGCTATTAAAAGGTGTCTACACAAAAATATCTATAATAATATACATAATATTAGACTCTTAAAATATAGAGAATAAAGCATAAACTCTCTATACAATATTAGAAAATGACCTAAATTATTTTTCCAAAAAATAAAATAAAACAAATCAAGAAAAAAATATATAACTCAGTTGGAGGCTAAATCCTCTAAAACATATACTATTACCACAAACTTGTAGGAGTTGTTTTGTCTGACTCTCATTCTCTCCCCCGATTTAGATATGCTCTTTTATTTTAAGTTCCTTAAATATTCAACACCTACACACTCTAAAGAAAATATATATACAATAATCTTTCTATATAGATTTCATTTATTATGGTCTTATATATAAACCCACGCATTTAATAGGATTTCATTTGATATATATTTTGAATATATGCACATATGCTTTTTTCTCATTATATATGTTGCGATGTGTATATATAAAAAAGTGTCTGTATATGTAGGTGTTGATCATACGCACCCGTTATTTAGTGCATGCGCATTTAAATTCTCTCTCTTTTACTCTCTCCCCCTTATACGGTTAATAATTCTTGGAAATTTGTATTTGTAAAAGATCTTTAGGAAAATATTTATTGAAATTTTGTTTTTGGAAAATGTTAGAGGTTTTTTTCAATGAAAATGATCTCCATAAAAGATTTTGTTACTTGGTCTATATACACAGACGTACATTCATAATATGTATGTGTGTATATGCATACACAATTTGTATGTATATGTAAAATATATACAATTTTGTTTACACTTATTTTTAGCCAAAAATAAAAAGTAAATTTATTAAAAATTTCGGAAAAATTTTGAATTTAAAATCATATTGATTTTAAAGATTTTTTAAAATAAATTTCTACAAAATGTTTATAAAAAGTTTCTTTTTTTTAGAAAAAGCCCTCTTAGGCCTTATTCATAATAACTTGTCAAAGGTTTTTAAAACGAATTTTCACACAAAATTCGTTTTATAAAGCTTTGGTAAATGATTACGAAAAATTTTAATTAATGTTATTAAACAATTTGTCAATACAACAAACAATGATAGATTTGGATAGACAACTCCCTAATTTCATTAAATAAAAGTTTATTAAGATGCATTTCAAAGTCTGTTTCAAAAAATCTGAGACTCTCGATATAAGCCAGTATTACAAGGAAATCATGTACGATCACTTCTATGATTCTTTTTGAGAAGAAAACATTTGCAATTTAAAGGTATTACGAACTAGAAAAAGAACAATATATAAAGCTAAGATCAGGTACTGCAATCTCTTTTAGGGCTCTTTTGACATCGATAATATTGATAAGCTAGTGTCAGTCCGAAGATCGTGAGTTCGATATTATTACATGGAAATCATGCATGATCACTTCTATGGTTCTTTTTGAGAAGAAAGCATTTGTAATTTAAAAGTATTACGAACTCGAAAAAGAACAATATAAAGTTAAGATCAGGTACTGCAATCTCTTTCAGTACTTTTTGACATCGATAATATTGATAAGCTAATGTTGTAGTCTGTCAGCCCGATGATCGTGAGTTTGATTCCCATTAGAGGCTCTAGTAAAGAATCGTACAATAGGCCCGATAGGGGCTTAAGTGTCTTTCATCGGATCTAATGTAATATACATATTTCATTCGAACTAACCAATGCATTAGTATTCTAATGGTCAAAAGAAGGTTTTGAAAGCTGTAAACTTAAACAAGAAAATTGGGATCAATTTACTCGATCATGAACATGGGAATCCCAAACCTTGCCTTCTGCTTAAGTTAGCAGCATCAAAGGAATCGAATAATTTGCTCAAACAATAGTCTCTGGCTTCAAAAATTGTCTTGAAAATCCTTTGTTTCTCAGTTCAAGAACTGACAATTAAGAAATGATCGTGCAGTGATCAATAGAACAAGCAGTAGTGATATTAAGAAAATAGTTGGATTATATGAAGCTTAAACTATAATGTTTATTAACACGGTTAAAAATTTAACTTTTATTAAACCGCAGACAAATATGATCACACCGTCAGAGATGATCATGATCATAGTTGCAAAGAGTTCAAACATTGCATTCTCTTATAACTAGTTAAAAATGAATGAAAACGAAAAGCTTAGAATTGTTATAAGCCAATAAAAGCGAAACATCAACAAATATTTCATTCGGTACAGGAGAACAGTAGGAGTGATCAGTTATAAGGAAACTCATTTTGTTTCTTAAACTATTTTTATCAATTTAACTTAATGTTATTATTTCTTATTCTACTTACAGAGACTTAAACCTTAAAACCACAAATCAAACATGGCTGATGAGGAGGTGAGGTAAGTATCAGTTCCTTAAAAAAAGGAATTTTCTTTTCACAAACAAAAACCAAACAATTTTAATAAATTTTTTTTTCTTACTTTATTTACAGTAAAAAAATTAACTACGGTTTATGTTAAAAGTGTTGTCCGCTCTACAAGGAAACATTGTGAAGGTAAATAGATAATTTTATAATGATGCATATGCCTAAAGCTTTAAGCTAAAGCAAAAAAAATTACTAAAGCTTTCTTTTTACTTTCCTATTTCTTCTTAGAGTGCTTTAATTTAAAAAAAATCTACTTTTTGGCCACACTGCTTATTGCTAACAACAAAAATAATATAAAACTGCTTATAATAACTAAGCTTTAAAGCTTAAACATAACAAAAGTTGAAACCAAAGCTTGTTTAAAAAATTCTCTAAAAACCTATATAAAAACATATTGTTAATTATTTTTCTTTCCTTTCAAATTTACAGAAAAAGGAAGCGGCTCCAGCACCAGCTCCAGCAGCAGCTCCTGCCCCAGCTCCAGCAGCCGCACCAGCAGCGGCAGCACCAGCAGCAGCCCCAGCGGCAGCACCGGCAGCAGCTCCTGCTGCAGGAGCACCAGCTGCTGCCCCTGCAGCCAATGGTAAAGCTGCCGCACCTGCTGCAGCACCCGCAGCCAATGGCAAAGCCGCAGCACCAGCAGCCAATGGTAAAGCTGCCAAACCTTTAACACCAGCTGAAGAGGTACAGCTCGTCACTGTAACTGTTCTATGTTGAAAATGAACAAGTGTTTCTTACGTTTGGTGTGCTCTACAAAGCTGTGTGTGTGTGTCTCTCTACCTTTATACGTCACAATGTCTCCTTGTGTTTACACTATCCGATTTTTCCCCGTACAAAAATATAAAATCTACATTCATTTAATTTTTAACAAATTTTATTTTCAAAAATAAAGGCTAAGAAGGCTAAACAAGCCGAAATTGAACGCAAGCGTGCTGAAGTACGCAAGCGTATGGAAGAAGCTTCCAAGGCTAAGAAGGCCAAGAAGGGTTTCATGACTCCCGAAAGAAAGAAGAAACTCAGGTTGTTGCTCCGCAAGAAAGCCGCTGAAGAATTGAAGAAAGAACAAGAACGCAAAGCCGCTGAACGTAGACGTATCATTGAAGAACGTTGCGGTAGTCCCAGAAACCTCAGTGACGCCAGCGAAGGTATGTTCAATCAGATCCATTTCTTTTTAATTTTTCACACATTTGATATCACCGTTAAAGAAGAAGAAAAAAAAGAAGAGATGTCATATTTTCAACATACACCCACACATTTCACACACATACACCTTCTTTATTATTTTTGCAATTGCACCAAATTTATTTTTTTTTACTTACGTTAAAAAATATCTATTCTGGGTTTTAGTGTAAATTCATTTTTTTTGTTTAAATTTTATTTTTATATAAAAAGAGTAAAAGATTTATATTAAAAAAAATTATTTTCTCTTCGTGATAAACTTACCACAGAACAACTCAGAAACATTATCAAGCAACACCACGAAAGAATTTGCAAATTGGAGGATCAAAAATACGATCTTGAATACGTTGTTAAGCGCAAGGATGTTGAGGTACACACACAAACAAACATTGCCACGCCTTTAAATTTACTTTTATTTATGACAAAATTACTCTCACTCTTTTAAACAAAACAAACTCGCTCTTTCTATATATTCTACTCTCAACTACTGTTCTACAACAAATATTTGCACTTTTTTACACTAAAACTATTTTTCTCTTAAGAAAATTTAAATCTAATGTTAGAAACATAAACGTCGGTTAACGAAATTATGAGAAGGAGAGAAAAACGTTTAAAAAACAAAGTTGTTTTACATTTTAAAAATGGCATCGAAATTCTGTACAATATGATTTCAGGATAATTTTAAAATATTTACGATATTGCAGTAAACTCTTAAATTTAGTTTATTATTTTACTTTTTTAAAAAAATAGAAATTTGTCTGTAATATTTCCAATCAGAAGCCGAAATTTTAGGGCAATACAAAGCTTCATGCTAAAAAATTTACGATACTGGAATAAATTTTAAATTTTTTAATAATTTAATAGTTTTGACAAAAATCGAAATTTCTCTGCAATATTTCTAATTGATTCCCAAAATTTTACTTCATTACGATCATAGGATCATGTTTTAAAATTTACGATATTAAAATATAATTTAAAATTTTTATTATTTTTAAAATTTTGACAAAAATCGAAATTTGTAAAAAATATTCTCTATTGATTACCAAAATTTGAGTCCCATACGATATATGGAACCTGCTTAAATATTTACGATATTGAAATAAAATATAAAATTTGTATTAATTTAATAATTTTGACAAAAATCAAAATTTCTAAAAAATATTTTCTATTAATTCCCAAAATTTGAGTTCAATACGATATAAGCAACCTGCTTAAATATTTACGATATTGCAAAAAATCTAAAATATTTAATTTTTGATAAAATTCTAAATTTACAAATAAAATTTCTCTGCAATAATTAATTGATTCCCAAAATTTCACTTCATTACGATCATAGGATCATGTTTTAAAATTTACGATATTAAAATATAATTTAAAAATTTTATTAGTTTTATAATTTTAATAAAAATCGAAATTTGTAAAAAATATTCTCTATTGATTACCAAAATTTGAGTCCCATACGATATAAGGAACTTGCTTAAATATTTACGATATTAAAATGAAATTTATAATTATTATTAATTTAATAATTTTGACAAAAATCAAAATTTGTAAAAAATATTTTCGATTAATTCCCAAAATTTGAGTTCAATACGATATAAGCAACCTGCTTAAATATTTACGATATTGCAGAAAAAATTTAATATTTAATTTTTGATAAAATTCAAAATTAGCAAATAAAATTTTCATTTTATTGCCAAAATTTGAGTTAAATACGATATAAGGAACCAGATTAAATATTTACGATATTGCAGAAAAATTTTAATATTTAATTTTTAATAAAATTCAAAATTAGCAAATAAAATTTTCATTTGATTACCAAAATTTGACATTAAGACAACTTAAGGAACTGGCTTAAATATTTACGATATTGCAGAATTTTAATTAAAAATATTTAAAACAACTTGTTTTTAAAAATTTTTCTCTCTCTTCTTAGTGACTCAAAGTCACAATTTCGTTACTCTCTTTAAACAAAAAATATCAACTTTTTATAACTCTAACGCTTGACCATAATGTTGTTTCTTTATAATGGGGCACACGTTCTTTTTTTAACGATTCTAAAACTAAAAGCTAATTCACTTACCAACAACTACAACAACTTACAAAACAAAATATGTAGCTGACACTTTAGAAAAAAAACATAAAAAATATGTATATTTTTTTCTTTTGTCGAATGCAAAAAAAAAAAAATAAAAAATTAATCAAACTAAATTAAAAATTGAAGGGAATAAATCAAACAAAGTAATAAGTCCTTAATAAAACATATAAAGTAGGAATAGGTATAAAAAACTAAGATCAAAATATAAAATGAACAAAATTTCTTACATTTACACCACTACACATCCACACACATTTACACTCTACTCATTTGTTCACTCATTTGTTTGTAGTTAGAAAATTTAGATTTTTTTTAATTTTTCATTATTAAGAGAAATTTTATTTTTATTTTAATTTACTCTTCATTATATCACTCCCACAAACAACAAACACCCAAACAACAACTTTTACCACAAAAACACATAATTGGCATTATTTGACCACCAACCGTATTGATTGTTGCATTTAGATTCCCTACGTGAAATTTGCAAAACTTATTACAATAAAGTTCTCCAATTGGAAGATCAAAAATATGATGTTGAATATACAGTTGCCCGCAAGGATATGGAGGCAAGCTCTTTTTTGAAACCTCATATTGTTTTTTTTGTGTTTTAAAAAAAAGTTTTATATTTTTTTCACAAAATTTTTGTTTTTTTAGAAGCTTTTTAGGAAAACTGTTTTTAATTTACTTTTTTTTCGAAAACAGTTTTCAAATGCCTTTTTTTTAAATTTAGCTCTATGTGTAGTAAACTTTTTTTAAATTATTTTAAAGTAGCAAGTAACATATATATTTTTTTCTGGAAGCTTTTATTTATTTAAATAGTAATTTTTGTTAACTTAAAACCAGAAATGGACTCTTTAAAAAAATCGCAAAAAAACTTTTTCTTAAGCGATTTTTCTTACAACTGACTTGTAAGCAAGAGTTAACCATTTTAGTTTAAGTTTTATTTTTAACTTTAAATACTTGTTTTAAGTAGATTTGTTTTAATTTTTTTAATTTTAAAAGTAGCTTTATATTTTTCCAACTTTTTTTTATAAAACAGGGTTACTCGTTGTTGTTCTTTTTTTTTCTTTCCATTCAACTCAAAAGGACTTAATTTGTTTTTTTTTTCTCCTTCCTTCAATTATATTTAATCTTTTTTTAATTTTCCTTCTAAGCTTTTTTAATTTTTCTTTAAGAAAAATTTAACTTTGTTTTGCTTTTTGTTTTTAGCTTTAAGTAGAAGCTTAAATTAATTACTTTTTGTTAAGCTTTTACTAAAAATGCTTTTTGTTTTTTGGCAAAAATTAAAAAAAAAAAAAAAATATGAAAAACCAAAGAGATTTTGAAATAAAAACTTATTTTGTTTAATTTAAAATTTATGCTTCAAAATATTGAAAAAATTGCTTGAAAATTTTCGGTATTTTTTTAAATAACAAAATATATTTAAAATCTCTTAAGGAAAGTTTTTTATATAAAAAATTTCCTATTCAATTTGGTTTGTTTGTTGCTTTTTTTGTAGTAATTTTTAATACCAAAAAAAGATAGTGGTATTAACATTTTTTATACAATTTTTTGATTTAAGAAACCTTTTTTAAGTTTTGATTTAGATTAAGAGTTTTATATTAAAATTCTTTAGTTTTTTAATTTACATTTTGTATTCAAAATACAGGGTATTGAAACCATTATCCCACAAATTTGGAAACTGAAAAATCTCAGTATTTTGATGAATTTATCTGATATTCTAGTTTTTTGTTAAAATACAGGTTTTTGACAAAAATATAGATTTTGGAAAAAAATTTGATATATAACAAAAATAGTAGTATTTGAGTAACATATTGGACTAAAATACAAGTTTTTGATAAAAAATACTAGTTTTTCACTAAAATACTGCGTTTTATGGTTTTTCACTAATATATTGGTTTTTCAGTAAAATACTGTTTTTTTCACTAAAATACTGGTTTTCACTAAAATACAGTTTTTTATTGAAATACTGGGTTTTCACTAAAATACAGGTTTCTATTAAAATACTGGTTTTTCACTTAAATACAGTTCTTTTTATAAAAATACTCGTTTTTCACTTAAATACAGTTTTTTATTAAAATACTGGTTTTTCACTTAAATACATTTTTTATTAAAATATTGGTTTTTCACTAAAATATAGTTTTTTATTCAAATACTGGGTTTTCACTTTAATACAGTTTTTTATTAAAATGCTGGTTTTTCACTAAAATAAAGTTTTTTTTATTAAAATACTGCCTTTTGGCTTAAATACTGAATACCGTTTGACTAAAATACTGGTTTTTTGGCAAAATTGATTTGACCAAAATACTGGTATTTGAGTAAAACACTGCTGTTTGATTAAGATACTGATATTTTAAACCTGTACTTTAAAATACTGGTATTACATTAAAATACTGGTATTTAATTAAATTACTAGTATTTGACTAAAATATTGGTATTAGATTAAAATAGTGGTATTTAAATAAAATACTAGAATTTGGCGAAAATACCGGTAATTGAGAAAAATACTGATATTGAAAATACTGGTATTGGTATCAAATACTTGTTTTTGACTAAAATACTATTTTTGACCAAAATACTGGTATTTGTCTAAAGTACTGTTAACCTAGTAAAATACTGCTATTTGATTAAAATACTGGTAATTGTCTAAAATACGGGTATTTGACTAAATTACTTATATTTGATTAAAATACTGGTCAAAGTATTGATATTTAACTTAAATATTGGATTTAATTAAAAAACAGCTGTTTGACTAAAATACTGCTTTTACTAAAATATTTGGTATTTGATTAAAATACTGGAATTTTCTAAAGAAGTGGTATTTGTTTATATTTGTCTAAAATACTGGTATTTGACTAAAATACTGGCATTTGAATAAAATACTGGTATTTGAATAAAATACTGGTATTTGACTGAAATACTGGTATTTCACTAAAAAATTGTATATGAATAAAATTATAGTTTTAATGAAAATACTGGTTTCTAACTAAAATACTAGGTTTTTATAAAATACTAGTATTTTCTAAAAAGCGGTATTTGTCTATAATACAGTTTTTTGGCCAAAATACTAATATTTAACTAAAATACCGGTATTTTATTGAAATACTTGTATTTTACCCAAATACCGATATTTTATTGAAATATTGAACTTGGCCAAAGTGTTACTATTTGACTTAAATACGAATATATGTTAAAAATATTAGTATTTGACTATAATATTGATATTTTACCAAAATACTGGGATTTTTTAGAGAAAATATCAAACAAAACCATTCTCTATTTTTCTATTTATAAAATTTTACATATTCCCCTTAAAATTTCACTCAACATTATAAAAGTCAAGTAGTTTATAAAATTAATATTTACAACAAAAATGTCAATATACACAGCAAAACAAAACATTCTTCAAATTACCATAAAAAAATTCTACACGTCACCCATAAAAATTCAAACATTTACCCCAAAAACAAAAAACTTCAAACATTTAAAAAAGTCAAGTGATTTAAGAGTAAAATAAGTTAGTTTTCTCAAACCTCCCCCCGCCCCACAACAGTGCATAGCAAAATTTTACAAATGGTGGTTGAATTTATTAAGATTTTCTTGAATTTCTTTTATAGATTACACATTAAATCACATTTTTTTATTTAAAATTTTTTCTTCTCAATTTTTTTATTTATTTTTTCAAAAATATACATATTTTATTAAAAAAACAATAATAATTTAACCAAAATATATGTAATGAAAATACAGCCGAACTACAAACTATATGCAAAGAATATTGGCAACGTCTATTCAATTTGGAGGGTGATAAATTTGATTTAGAGCATATTGAAAAAATGAAACAATGTGAGGTAAATGGCTATAAATTTTCTTTTAAACAAATTTCCCTTAAACAAATATTTTTTTTATATAAATATTTTAGTATTATATGATTATTATTACGTTTTTTTTTGGCATTTGATATTTTATCTATAAACAAAAGAAAGAATATTTTTATGGTATGATTTTCTTTCTATTTGTTTTTTTTTTAATACTTTAATATTGTAATAATCAAACCAAACTGTATTGAAAATAAAACCCCGTAAATACTTCTTAAAAAAAACAGCTTGAAAAAAGGACCATAATAAAACCAAGAAAAAAAAGGTTTTTGTATAAAAAGAAAACAAAACAGAAACTAGACTCTAACAACAAAAACTTTGACTTTAAACAAACGAGTTATAAATGTGGTTAATTTTGATAAATTTATAACAAAAACGATTATTAAAAAGAAAGAAAAAAACACTAGAACACATAACATCAAAGCAACAAATTGTTCAAAAAAAAAATGTTTAATTTAAGAGAAAACAAACAAAATAATTATAAACAAAACTTTAAAACATTGATTTACAGGTGAATTACAAGAAATCTGTGAAGAATACCATGAACGTATATATTATTGTGAAAGTTCCAAATTCGATTTGGAATATGATGTCAGAAAAAAAGATTGGGAGGTACTGCCACAATTAGTTTATTTTAAACAAAAGAAACAAATATTTGTTAAATGTTTGTTTTAAGTGTTAAATATTAAATGTTTAGGGTTTTACGTTGATATTTCAAAACTCATTCTTTTCGTTACACATTTTAAGTTACACATACAAAATAAATCGTTTTTAATTTTTTTTTTTTTTTTTCGTTTATTTTTATTTGTTACACTGTGCATTCAAAACTTTAAATATATTTGTATACATCTTCCACTCTATGTATGTGTGTCCAATGTTTCAGCTCAATTACAAAAGATTTGCCAAGAGTACTACGACCGTATGTACCTTTGTGAAGGCCAGAAATGGGATCTTGAATATGAAGTCAGGAAAAAAGACTGGGAGGTATTAAACTACTTCTACTTCATGCAACTAAATTGTATACAATTTTCAATTGTTGTAAAATTGTTAGTTTTTTTGTGATTTTTTTTTTTGGGAAATTATTTTGCTAATTTGATAAATTATATAGAATTGCTTTTTTATTTTCTTCTTATTTTTTATAGAGAAAAGAGTACAAACCATATTCAATATGGGAAAAAAGTATTTTAAACAAATTGTTTTTGATTTTTGTAAACATACACACACACAATCAAACACCCACACAAATACTAAGCAATCAAATTTTGAAAGCTTTTGTTAACACTTGTCTTCCCTATTTACACGTTCACATCAAACCAACCAGATCCAAGCACACTCCTGCTTACAATGTTTTTTACATTTTAAATGTAATTTGCACAAGTTTCTTAAATCCAATCGTTCTTGTGCAATTTCAAGATTTTTTTATTTAAAATTTAATGGAATTTTTAGCTAAATAGTGGTATTTAACAAAATATTGGTATTTTATTAAAATACTGGTATTTGCTTAGAATATGGGTATTTAAATACAATACTCGTTTTTGACTAAAATACTGGTTTCTAACTAAAATACTAGTAAATAAATACTGGTATTTTACTTAAATACTGGTACTTGATTAAAATACTGGTATTTGACTAAAATACTGGTATTTGACTTAAGTACTTGTATTTGACTAAAATACTGATTTTTGACTAAAATACTGGTATTTGACTTAAGTACTGGTACTTTGATTAAAATACTGTTTTTCTACTAAAATACTGGTACTTGACTAAAATACTGGTATTTTATTAAAATACTTTATTAAAATACTGGTATTTTATTAAAATACTTGAATTTTTAGCTAAATAGTGGTATTTAACTAAAATATTGGTATTTTATTAAAATACTGGTATTTGCTTAGAATATGAGTATTTGTATAAAATACTCGTTTTTGACTAAAATACTGGTTTCTAACTAAAATACTAGTAAATGACTTAAATACTGGTATTTTACTTAAATACTATTATTTAACTTAAATACTGGTACTTGACTAAAATACTGGTATTTGATTAGAATACTGGTTTTTGACTAAAATATTGGTATTTGACTTAAATACTGGTACTTGATTAAAATACTGGTACTTGACTAAAATACTAGTATTTGATTAAAATACTGATTTTTGATTAAAATATTGGTATTTGACTTAAATACTGGTAATTGATTAAAATACTGGTATTTGATTAAAATACTGGTACTTGATAAAAATACTGGTATTTGTCTAAAATACTGGTATTTGACTAAAATACTGGTATTTGGCTAAAATACTGGTATTTGACTAAAATACTGGTATTTGACTAAAATACTGGTATTTGACTAAAATACTGGTATTTGATTAAAATTTCGGTATTTGACTAAAATACGGGTACTTGATTAAAATACTGGTATTCGACTAAAATACTAGTATTTGTTTAAAATACGGGTATTTGAATAAAATACTGGTTTTTTAATAAAATACTGTTTTTTTACTAAAATACTGGTATTTGATTAAAGTACGGGAATTTGAATGAAAACTGGTTTTTGACTAAATTACTGGTATTTGACTAAAATACTCGTTTTTGACCAAAATATTAGTCTTTGTCCAAAATACTAGGCTATGATTAAAATACTGGTTTTTGACCTTCAAATTCCCCACGTACATATATTTACACTTTGCTAAGCCAAGTCCCCTCAATACTCATAATTATACACTTAAAACAAACTCCCCCCACTCCCATTACACTGACACAAATTTCCACCCAAAAACAAACAAATAAAACATGGATTTTTTCTCATATTTTTTTTTTTTTTCAACAAAGCGCAATATTTTTTTATTATTTTCATTATTTTTTTTAGTATTTGTTTAGTTTAGACACTGTAATGATGTGATGACATTTTTTTATAATTTTATATGATAAAATAATGTTTTGTGTTTTTATTTGTTAAAACTATGGCTTAACAATATTTTATATTAGTGTTTTTTTTTTTTTTTTAACTACAAACCAATTACAATAAAAAATCATTTTCATAATGCCAAAAAATATGAAAAAAAAAATAATTTAAACACCAAAAAACGCCAAGCACATTTTATTTAAAACAAAAGCTTTATTTTAATAGTTTTCTTAAAAACCCACCACCAACCAACAAGAAAATAAATTTTTGCCATATTTTTTGTTTGAAAAAAAATCCACCATTTTTTTATTGCACAAACAGAATTAAAATATTAATTTATAAAAATTAAAAATATGAATTTAAATTAATTATATTTTTCATTTAGAACATGCATACATAGAATTATAAAAAATCAAAAAAAAAAAAAAAAGAAAATCATTTTATAAAAAATTAAAACAAAATCATTTAGTTTTAAAAGTTTTGTGTTAAACATAAAGAAAAATTCAAGGTTTACAGCAACAGTATGGCACTTTTGTTGAAAAAAATAAAAATATTTTATAAAAAAAAAAGAAATAAAAAAATAAACTCAATTTCAAATCTATGTGTGATAAATTGTATTTTGTTTGTGCGTTTATCCTTAAAAAGAAGTTTTAAAAAGTCCTTAAAGCAACACTTAATGGTTGTTCCTTTAATTTTTCCCTTAACACTTTTTTTTATTTTTTAATTATATATATTTTTTTGAAAAAACAATTTTATTGGTATTTTCCTTAGTTTTGTCTATTTTAATATAAATTTCTCTTTCTAACACAAACAAATAAAAACACAAATCATTATTAAAATGTTTTACATCATCATTTAGCCGCAATTAGTTTATTTTTTTTTTTTTTTAATTTGGGAAGAATTGAGTTTATGATATTTATTTAATTTAATAATATTTTGTATGTGCCATACTGTGTGCAGTACCTCGTTTAATTTAAAATAAAAATTGTTCAATGTTTCACGAATTTGTAATCACGTCACTCACTTAGTTTGACAGAAAATCACGGTTTTTTTAAAAGTAGTTTTATCACCATAAAACAAAATGTTATGCTGTTCTAAGTAAAAAAAAATTCTAAATGAAATAAAAAAACAGCAATAAAACTTAAACTTAAAACTGTAATTTTTAAATTAAAAATTTTGACAAAATACCTTTAAACATTTTATAAAAATTTTTTATTTTTTTGTAATAAAAATATTTTTAAATTTAAGTTTTATTGCTTATTAAAAGTTTACTACCAATTACCACTTTATGTTTTCACTCTGTAAACTTTCACTCTCTCTCTTTTACTGTTAAAGCTCTAAATCACTCTGTTTTATTACTAAAACCAAAAAAACAACCAAATAATCTTTCTAGCTCTAAGTCCAGCTCATAATTTATTTATTTATCTATCTGTCTATCTTTATGTCTGTCTTTCTCTCTATATATCTTTTAACTAATATTTATATATAACTTTCTTTCCTTAGATCTGTTTTATATTGTACAGAGAAAAAAAGCTTTTTAATTTATAAGCTCGCTCTTATTAAAGCATGTTTAATTTGTAAGAACTTGAAAAAAAAGCTTATTATTTACTTCCAAAGGAAAAGCTTGCTTAAAATTTTTCTAAAGCTTTTTATCTTAATTGTTTTATGTTTAAAAAGTAATTTTGTTTTTAGTTTTCTAGTAACTGTTAAGAAAAAGCTCAAATAATAAAAAAAAATAATTAAAAAAGATGATAAGCTTAAAGCTTTTAAAAAGTTTAAAGCTTTGGAAAAGTATTAAAGCTTTGAAGAGTTTAAAAACTTTCAAATAGCTTAAAGCTTTTGAAAAGTGTAAAGTTCTCTAAAAGTTCTTCCAGCTTTTGAAAAGTCTAGCCTTTATATGAAAATTTGAGCTTTTTCCTACAGTTTAGTATCTTTTTTGAAATTATATTACAGTTTAAAGCCTATAAACTTGGTTATTAATCTATTACCTATTTTCCCTTTTTCCCCATTCTTTAAATTTTCTATAGATCAACGATCTCAATGCCCAAGTTAACGATCTTCGTGGCAAGTTGTAAGTAACCAAATTATCTCTAACAAAGTCAAACATTTTACTCATAATTGTTTTTTTTTTTTTTTCATAAAATTTATAGCGTTAAGCCTGCTTTGAAGAAGGTTTCCAAATACGAAAACAAATTCGCCAAGCTCCAAAAGAAGGCTGCTGAATTCAACTTCCGTAATCAACTTAAGGTTGTCAAGAAGAAGGAATTCACATTGGAAGAAGAAGAAAAGGAGGTAAGTTGGTTAAAAATTATTTAAAAAATAAAAAATTATTAACAGAAGCATAAAAGGAAAAATATTTTTAAAAGAATTTTTTAAAATTCTTTATATATTTAAAAAAAAAAGTATAAACATAACTTCAATATTGTTTCAAATAAAACACTGAAATGATTTTTTAACACTTCACACTTTTTACACAACTTTACCACACTTTGCATTTGATTCCAATACTTTTTCAATAAAGAAACACAAAACTCTTTTTTCAACAAATTAACATTTTCACTCTATATTCTCCATTTTATTTTAAAAATTTTTTTCAAACTGTTAAAACAAAAGATTTAAGAAACAAACACGATGAAACTGTTTAACGAAAAGACTTGAACAACAAACCTGGGAAGAGAGAATATAAAATAGTTAAGAGAAACACAATTGACTTGTGCAGAACTTAATGTAGAAAGACTTAAAACACAAACATGATTAAGGAAACGGAAGTTGATAATGAAAGACTTAAGTAACAAAACTGTTTAACACACTGAAGATAATTTCACATTAAAGAAGGACTGTGAACGGGAGAATATTAAGAAGATTAGAACTGAACTAAAACTGAACTAGAACTGAACTAGAACTGAACTAGAACTGAACTAGAACTGAACTAGAACTGAACTAGAACTGAACTAGAACTGAACTAGAACTGAACTAGAACTGAACTAGAACTGAACTAGAACTGAACTAGAACTGAACTAGAACTGAACTAGAACTGAACTAGAACTGAACTAGAACTGAACTAGAACTGAACTAGAACTGAACTAGAACTGAACTAGAACTGAACTAGAACTGAACTAGAACTGAACTAGAACTGAACTAGAACTGAACTAGAACTGAACTAGAACTGAACTAGAACTGAACTAGAACTGAACTAGAACTGAACTAGAACTGAACTAGAACTGAACTAGAACTGAACTAGAACTGAACTAGAACTGAACTAGAACTGAACTAGAACTGAACTAGAACTGAACTAGAACTGAACTAGAACTGAACTAGAACTGAACTAGAACTGAACTAGAACTGAACTAGAACTGAACTAGAACTGAACTAGAACTGAACTAGAACTGAACTAGAACTGAACTAGAACTGAACTAGAACTGAACTAGAACTGAACTAGAACTGAACTAGAACTAAACTAGAACTGAACTAGAACTGAACTACAACTGAACTAGAACTGAAATAGAACTGAACTAGAACTGAAGTAGAACTGAACTAGAACTGAACTAGATCTGAACTAGAACTGAACTACTTTTAACCGGAATTACAAAACTAAATAAGCACTTTTTTCACCTTCTCACAATAGAGACACATAATAACTTAACATTTCAAAAATGTACACATATCCAATAGTTTTTCACAAAAAAACACACTTAAAAATTAAAGTAATGACTGGTTTTTCTAATACAAATGCTTTTTTTCTAATTCCATATTCTTAAAACAACAAAAACTTTAGAAAAAGATTAAAGATTCTATACTAAAATCCAAAAAGTGTAAGATATCTAAGTGTATAAATGTAAAAATGTGTGTGTAAACAAATCACTTGTTAGTTAATGTGAATCTTGTAAAGAACAAATGTTTTTTAATAGAATAGTAAAAAAATAGCACAATTTAAAAGAAGATAAAAAACAAAGCACTTAAATAGTTTTTTAGAAATAATTAAATATCACTGTTTTCTTGTTGTAATGTTTCACTTTCTTTAGACAACAAAGTAGAAAATTTTAGTAAACTTTAAAGAAACCACCTATTCCCCTACCACAACCTTAACTTTTAATTTTGTTAAATTTTATGTTAATTGTTTTCCTTAATCGTGGCAATTTATTAATATATTTCTTTTCTTTGTTTTTTTCCTTTAACGTGGCATTTGCAGAAGAAACCCGACTGGTCCAAGGGCAAGGCTGCTGATAAGCCAAAGGAGGAAGCTGAAGTTGAAGCCTAAGTGTTCCGATTTTATATATATGACCGTATCCCGCCCTATTTTTAAATAAAAAAAATCATTTATTATTTATTAATTGTTTTCAAACAACAACAACAAATTATGTACATCTAAATTATATGAAAGAAAAAGAAAACCATAAAAAACAACAAAAAAAAATTTAATTAAAACTATATTTTTTTTTAAAAAAAACTCTTAATCAATTGGTCAAGAAAAATTCCTATAATTTATGAATTATTAAGTTATGATTGCTATGACATATTAGATCTGCTCCATTAACAGGTTTTTCACCTCCTTGTAAATATGCTGCTGTTTATTTGAGTATGTTTTACCAGAACTTAGTTGTTTTTAACATTTCTTTTTATTTTTGTGGGTAATAACTCCTAACACACCATCCTAAATTGCAGCTTATTCTTTTAGCAATTTTATTTGCTTTCTTTTTTGTAAAGTATAATATTTAATTATGTAACTATAATAAAGAAAATTTTTGAAAATAAATTTGTTTAAAGGAAAACAAAAAAAACAGAAACAAGAAGTTTATTTTAACAATTAGAGTTTACAGAATTTACAACTTATGAAACATTATAGGATTTGCCTTTCATGTTTGCCGCGCCCTTTATATAAGTTGTAAAACTAAAACGTTAACGTAATGCAACTAATTTCGGATGTTACCATCAAACTCTTCAGTTTGTTTTCTATCGGAGTTATGACAGTTTAAAGCAGGATCAATATTTTACTTTACCACAATTTGAGCGAGTTAGTGTTTTATAACTCTGCCAAATTTCAAGCTATTATTCCAACCGACTAGGGAGTCATAACAGTTTGAAGTATCAAGTAATCTGTACTAAACAGATTGTTTATAGTAAAACAACACAACTACTCTAGATATTTGAAAGCGATTTATGTCTAAAGAACTAAATAAAAAGTGCTTAGTACTACAAGCTGTAGCTAACATTTAGTTAATTTATATACATTAATAATTAAATTAAAAGCAAATTCGATTCCATGATCATAGATCACTTTTTTATACATTTTTTCATATTTATTTATTTATTGCGATTAATATTATTTGATTATTTAAATAATTGCTAAAACATTGAGATTAAAAAAAAAAAATCGCCATATTATGACTTTTGCAAGTGAGTATTATTAGTGTATACTAAATAAATTTATATAAATATCATATTGTAACTTATCAACTAATAAAAATAATTTAAATAATTATCATAAATGACTAGTCATAATCATCATCACTGGCCTCCTCTTCCGGCTCCTGTTCATGTGCCACTTCACCTTCTACCTCCTCCTCTTCTGCTGCTTCCAAGTCCAAACAATGACGATTATCTAATTCTTCCAATTGCACTTCATTAAAATCACTACCACTGCAACGTCTTGCCGCGAAATCCATATCAAACAAACTGCCAGCAACATGATGCTAAAATGTTTGGGCATTACGACACACACCACACCCCAGAGCAAACTCTTCGCCTGTGGGAGGATGTATGACATGTAGAGGGCAATCTTCACCCATTAGCTGTTTGGCTTTGGGTCCAGCTGGACATTGGGGTAATTTGTTTTTGGGTATATTGGTTAAACGTTGGAAATCATCGTGACAAGTGTCACAGAAATGGGTGGTGCCGAAGCAAAAGAATACCGCCACTGAACAGCAGTAACGGCATTTGTATTCTAAAAAGTCTGTGCCATGTTTGGGACACATTTGTGCCCTAGCCACATCTGAACAACCACCACATACCAGCTCCTCCGGATTGAATTTCTCACCAATTTCAGCATCACATCTAGCTTCACCGCCATAATAGGCTTTTTGACATTTAAAGCACACATAATAGGCATAACGATCCATAGCCAAAGTGGTTAAATCACGACCTTCGGTATCTTTAACCAAGCCTTCGTATTTAATGCTACAAGTAAAAAATTAACAATGAAAATAAAATTTGGTTTAATATAATTTGAAGCCACTTACCGTATTAAAGCTTTGCGTTTAACATCCTGTTTCAAACCATTAATGGGCTCTAAGATATCCGCCAGCATGGGATGTTTAATATCAGCCTTACAAATGGGACATAGAGAGAAACCAAAGGTAATGCGCGGACCACTCCAACGTTTTTCCAAAACAGCCTTGCAGCAATGATAATGGAAAACATGACCACATTCCAACTAGAAATAATAACAAAATATGATTTTTATTATTCAAATACTTTTAGTTTTAGTTCAGTTCTAGTTCACATTTAGTTGAGTTCTACCTAAATTCTAGTTCTGTTCTAGTTCAGTTCTAGTTCAGTTCTAGTTCAGTTCTAGTTCAGTTCTAGTTCAGTTCTAGTTCTAGTTCAGTTCTAGTTCAGTTCTAGTTCAGTTCTAGTTCAGTTCTAGTTCAGTTCTAGTTCAGTTCTAGTTCAGTTCTAGTTCAGTTCTAGTTCAGTTCTAGTTCAGTTCTAGTTCAGTTCTAGTTCAGTTCTAGTTCAGTTCTAGTTCTAGTTCAGTTCTAGTTCAGTTCTAGTTCAGTTCTAGTTCAGTTCTAGTTCAGTTCTAGTTCAGTTCTAGTTCAGTTCTAGTTCAGTTCTAGTTCAGTTCTAGTTCATTTCTAGTTCAGTTCTAATTCAGTTCTAGTTCAGTTCTAGTTCACTTCTTGTTCAGTTCTAGTTCACTTCTAGTTCAGTTCTAGTTATGTTCTTGACGAGTTCTAATTCAGTTTTAGAGGATCCACTTCCATATATGTACATATCTCGATGTAGATTACAACTCTTACCTGTATAGAAGGAGCACAAGCTAAAGCCTCCACAAAACATATCATGCACATGTCATCAGCATCTTGAGTCAATTTAGGTTCATTCACTCCATCGGCCACATTATTTTCGCGGCTATGACAGACATGCTGCAAACAAGGCAAACATTTCTTTTCATTAACCACTCCACCACAAACATGACCACACTGCTTGGTTTTCATGCATGAATTGGCAGCATATTCCTGGCACTGAGCATCAGCGCAAACATTGCCAATTTCCAAGAGACCCGAATTGCCAGTAATACCACAAAAACGACAACGACCCACAGAATCTTGTGAGCCGGAAATAATAGTATGACTACCATCACGAAATTCGACCATGGCTTTCAAAGTCTTGGAGTCAGCCAGGGCGAGTAGCCAAAAGAGTTTAGTGCGTCCACAAGATTCATGTAATTCCACACGTATGGCCTCCTCCTCTTCCTTGCAAACCTAAAAGAATTATTAAAATTTTATAATGATTTTCAAAACCTCCTTTTAAAACCCACAAACTTACCGTTCTTTTGTGTGTTCTAGTTTTGCGATTTAAATGCAAGAAACGATCACAATCACCACACAAGGAACCACAACTTTCACATTGTATTATAGCTGAAGTTTCGCCATCATCATGATTATTGCACATGGGTCGGGTATCCGAGATGGCCCATTGACCCGACGAAAGTTTTTCTACATGATCATTATCCAACACACACAAACTGGCCAGAGCCAGCCATAAAGTAGCAGTTTTAACACAATTTTCTGGAGAACGAAATACCTCATCCAAACGAGTTAAATTCAAAACAGCCTCCGCTATAGCAGCTTTGGTCATTTGAGACCATTTATCACCCAATTTACCCTTAAATTAAGAAAATGTTTAATATTTAGCAAATTTAAAAATATTTTTCTCTATTTTCCACTTACTGTGGCCAAATCTCGTATTAAAGCTATAATACTTTCCGCCTGTTTAGTGGGTATTATGCCATTCAAAAACCATCTATGATTTAGATTTTTCGGAGCTTCTTTCTTACTCATTTCTTTATTTAAAACTCTAGCCTGTTTGACACTCATACGTTCGTATTCAAAAGCATATTCTGAACGCGAAAACGTGTCCTCTCCCTCGGCTGTCTCTTGTTCATCATTTAGAGTCAATTTAGGAGGCTTTAACAAATGCACCGATAAATCCAATGCATTGTAAAGTCTTATAAAAGAAGGTGTCTTTTCCATTGAAGATTTTCCTCCGGCGCTTTTAACTTTTACTTGTAGCTGCAAAGATTTAGCTATAACTGCCAAAAATATATCCAATAAACCCAAACTGTCCATATCAAAATCCACTGCTATCTGATGGGCTATATTATAATCCGAGGGTGGCAAACGTTGTACACCCAAAATATCAGCAAAAGTACCGGGAGATATCTCCGGCAAAATACGTCTCAATAAAGCAGTAACTTGTCTCTGTACCCTATCGCTGCCGGTATGCAAAAGACTTAAAAGATCCTTAATCAAACCATGTTGATGTGACAGATATGATCTGCCCACAACACTGCCTGATAAAGCCAATACCATGCTTAACATTTCAAAGCAATAAGTATCCGGGGTACGACTACGCTCGGTGGTTACCTCCAATTTAGAGTCTTTATCAGTGTTTGAACCCGTGCCATTCGGATCTCTTAGGTTATTGGTGAGATTTACTGCATCCCAATCTTCTTTAGCTCGCCGTGCTTCTTTTTTAATGGCGTGAACAATATGCACTATGACTTGTTTTTGTAGATGTGACAGTTTACTTCGTGAGAAGAGAATGCCCACCATGTGTTCTCTTAAGTCGAGTGAATCGGCCAACATGGAGTTAGCACTAGTATCCATGCCCAAAGCATTTTGTGAACCACTTTTACCAATCACTGTAGACCCTCCGGCATTTTCATCGTTACCTGATTCCAAGGTGATTAATTTGCCAAAGACTTGACCTAGAAGGAGGACATGAAATGGAGTTTAATAAATATTATTAAGAACCAAATAATTATATAACTGAACTAGAAGTGAACTAGAACTGAACTAGAAGTGAACTAGAACTGATCTAGAACTGAACTAGAACCGAACTAGAACTGAACTAGAACTTAACAAGAACTGAACTAGAACTGAACAAGAACTGAACTAGAACTGAACTAGAACTGAACTAGAACTGAACTAGAACTGAACTAGAACTGAACTAGAACTGAACTAGAACTGAACTAGAACTGAACTAGAACTGAACTAGAACTGAACTAGAACTGAACTAGAACTGAACTAGAACTGAACTAGAACTGAACTAGAACTGAACTAGAACTGAACTAGAACTGAACTAGAACTGAACTAGAACTGAACTAGAACTGAACTAGAACTGGACTAGAACTGAACTAGAACTGAACTAGAACTGTACTAGAACAGAACTAGAACTTAACTAGAACTGAACTAGAACTGAACTAGAACTGAACTAGAACTGAACTAGAACTGGACTAGAACTGAACTAGAACTGAACTAGAACTTAACAAGAACTGAACTAGAACTGAACAAGAACTGAACAAGAACTGAACTAGAACTGAACTAGAACTGAACTAGAACTGAACTAGAACTGAACTAGAACTGAACTAGAACTGAACTAGAACTGAACTAGAACTGAACTAGAACTGAACTAGAACTGAACTAGAACTGAACTAGAACTGAACTAGAACTGAACTAGAACTGAACTAGAACTGAACTAGAACTGAACTAGAACTGAACTAGAACTGAACTAGAACTGAACTAGAACTGAACTAGAACTGAACTAGAACTGAACTAGAACTGAACTAGAACTGAACTAGAACTGAACTAGAACTGAACTAGAACTGAACTAGAACTGAACTAGAACTGAACTAGAACTGAACTAGAACTGAACTAGAACTGAACTAGAACTGAACTAGAACTGAACTAGAACTGAACTAGAACTGAACTAGAACTGAACTAGAACTGAACTAGAACTGAACTAGAACTGAACTAGAACTGAACTAGAACTGAACTAGAACTGAACTAGAACTGAACTAGAACTGAACTAGAACTGAACTAGAACTGAACTAGAACTGAACTAGAACTGAACTAGAACTGAACTAGAACTGAACTAGAACTGAACTAGAACTGAACTAGAACTGAACTAGAACTGAACTGAACTAGAACTGAACTAGAACTGAACTAGAACTGAACTAGAACTGAACTAGAACTGAACTAGAACTGAACTAGAACTGAACTAGAACTGAACTAGAACTGAACTAGAACTGAACTAGAACTGAACTAGAACTGAACTAGAACTGAACTAGAACTGAACTAGAACTGAACTAGAACTGAACTAGAACTGAACTAGAACTGAACTAGAACTGAACTAGAACTGAACTAGAACTGAACTAGAACTGAACTAGAACTGAACTAGAACTGAACTAGAACTGAACTAGAACTGAACTAGAACTGAACTAGAACTGAACTAGAACTGAACTTGAACTGAATTAGAACTGAACTAGAACTAAATTAGAACTGTTCTAGAACTGAACTAGAACTGAACTAGAACTGAAGTAGAACTGAACTAGAACTGAACTAGAACTGAACTAGGACTGAACTAGAACTGAACTAGAACTGAACTAGAACTGAACTAGAACTGAACTAGAACTGAACAAGAAGTGATCTGAAACTGAACTGGAATTTGAAGTGAAATACAATCCAAAATATTTTTTAACAATTTAAAAATATCACTCACCAGTTATTAAACGAAATACCCGCAAAGTTTCACTTTCGCAGATTTGCTGTTGTATTCTTGTAGCATTAGTCAACTTTAGATTATACTTAAAAGCCTGTACCTGCGAAGAGCTATTAGCTGACAACTCATAAGGATTAACCAATTGATCACCGGAACCACACATAGCTGCTGGCAAACCTAATAATTTAATTTGTCTTACACGCAAAGTATTCTCGGGACCAGTAAATTCCAAACGGAAATGAGTAAAATTATCATCATTTATTTTGGCCGAAAGCCAAGTACAAGCTTTAGCATCTACTTCAATGGATTTGATGAGACTAGTGTCACCCAAAGACTGGCCACCATAAAACACAACTGAAGAGACTTTATTCTGTATATCACGACTGTTGTCTATGTGTATGAGTAGCATTTTACAGCAATATGTCAATTTATTCATGGATATTTCTATTATTTTACTTTTATTGCGATCTTCTTCATCACTCTCCCAGAAAGTTTCAGTGGAATTGTCCGTTAAAGATTCCGCCATTGCCTGACGTGAGGAAACGGTAACTTCAAAATGACCATTAAGATCACTGTAGTAAATAATTTTACCTCCCGCATCAGGCATAGGATATAAGTCTTTGACAGCTGTTACCTCTTTAGGATCTAAATCTTCATTTAAACCAAATACACCAGGATTTTCATTTTGTTCATCGGATTTAGAGAGTATTTTGGAAATATTCCCAAATACATGTGAACTGTGTAAAAATTGATGATCCGTTTGTCTAAACCTTATGCCAAAACATTGTATAGAAATGCGTTGCAGAGGAGAACCCAAAGGCAAATATAAAGTCAAATCTGCTACAGATTGTAAAAATGTATGCAAACTTTCAGTGATCATATAAGAAAGACGTCCACTTATTTGGGTATAGGAGACTGGATGTTCCAATGCCGGTTCCAATTCATCATATTTACCATCCACATGTTCGGTAGCTGTTGAGGGTGTTATGCTTAGTGAAGACACAAACCACCACATTAGATCATGCAGACAAACACTTTGTGTTACCGATCTTAACAGCCAATTTAAGGCCTGCAGAGAATAATTGCGACAAGTGGCTATACGTAATGATCTTTTCATGGCACTGCGTAACTTTTTCAAATCATGCTTCTGGGTTATAAAAGCCATAGCGGGCCTTTGCAGTAAAACACTTATTTGATTAGCGGCTTCAGCGTCCAAATTATTTCTTTGATTTTGTTGTTTACTGCCTTCGAAATCAAGTTTTTGTTCTTTATTTAAAGTGTCATTGGCCTCAGTTTCTGTGTTGGCTGGTTTTTGCACCACCGAAGTGGCAATTAACATATGTTCTGGCACTAAACGTCTTAAATTTTCCGAAGGATAACAGATCAAGAGCGAACCATCACTTTCCGAGGTGGAATTATTGCGTTTACGAAATACCACTTTGGGATAGTAGGATTCTTCACGTTGATTTGTAGCAATTTGTTGTTGAGCTATACCCCAACCTTGACCCATGGAGTAGCTGCGATGAAAACGTGAAAGAGTGCCACTAGTAGACATGCAATTGGCTTGGTTAGGATTGTCATAATTCGTGGGTTCCGAAGATTCATAAGAGATTTCCGAAAGAGGCTGTAATTTAGAAAAATATTTTAAATGAAATTTACTGAAATAGAGGTTAACAACTCACCCTATCAAAACCATTTTCATTGGCACCCATGCCAAAGATTTCATATGGTAAATCTTCCTTATTGGCCGGACCAAAAGTTTCCAAACAGGCAAAAGTTTCGGGAGCCAACCAAGGCTGTTCTGGTGAAACCGAACCGCCAAAACTTTTGCGATAAGTAACATTACCTACCACAAATGAAATACTCGTTTAATTCCTAAATTCTATTAAAAATCTCTTAACTCACCTCCAAATTTATTAGTAATCCTTAAACCCACACGACTGTGACGTTGTGTGTCTGCCCTGCTGGTGCTGGGTTTATTCATTTCACTCATATTGAAATGCTGATGTTCCACTACCACTGGCATTTGCTGTGGCGAACGTTTGCTGTTGGAAGTCGCATGTCCTGCAGCAGTATGACCCGAATCAGTAGGCAAATTCGAAATATTAGAAGACAGTTCCAACAAGAAAGTAGCATTCTCTCTCATGGTGGTATAAATCTCTGAATTGGCTATTAAAGTTGTAGTCTTAATGCCAAACAAATTCAGCTCCGTACCCGTGCCACCAGCATTTGTATTATTCAAATTATTGGTATTTTTATTGGTCGATATGTATTTGTCACGACAGGCGTCACACATTAAGAACCAACTAGAGGCTCCTTTACCACCTTCACCACAATTACCAGCCCAACCTTCACAGAAAATACCCACACTATTGTAACCCTTGCCTTTGGCAGATTTACCACAACCAGGATGCACAATACGCATGTGATAGGTTACGGGAATGGGTAGGAATATCTGACATATCTCACACCAAGAACCATCATCTTTTTTCTTCTTCGACTTTTTGTTTTCTTTGTCTTTAGCAGTGGGTTTTTCTTTACTGCTATCAGCAGTGGATTCGCGTGAGTGGAATCTTTCTTGACTCAAAGAATTTGACTGCACAATGTGCACACAGTTGGAGCAAATATGTTCCCATAGGTAAACCAAGCTACGCAGAGCTGGGGGTAAAACTGTCACCACTTCTGGCAAAGAATGTAATTTCTGCTTCTCCCCCATATCATCGGGATTGTCACTGGACTGACCCTTGCGATATTTACGGTTATTTACCGAGAAATTGCCACTTTTGGTTAGAGTTTCCAAGGTGGAGGGTCGTATGTTGAGATAATTTCCTGCATTAGCCACTTCCACCGAATGCCTCTGTTGAGCTTTTTGTTCTTTAGACAATTGCTGACGGCCTTCACTATGATCTCTTCTAGTTATTACCGTAGTACCCTCTTTCGGTAAGTTAGGATGAAATTTAAGAAAACTGGCACAGGCCATGGCATCATGTACTACTCCCTCGTGCCAAAGAAAAGCAGCAAATACCGCCCGTATGCTTTCAGCAAATGAGGGTGGCATAGCTCTTTTTATGGGACCCATGGGATTTTTCTTGGCTGGTGCCGCTTTGAAAAAAGCATTTTGAGGAGCATTTGTTGCGGAGGATCCTACAGGTTCAGGCCATATGGGAGGACTGGAATTGTCGGTGCTGCCGGTCGAACAAGTTGTTCTCACTTCTCCAAATAAAATTTGATCTTGTGTAGTGCTTCCACCTCCTGGGGTAGTGGTGGTGATTTGCAGCAAATTCATTTCTTCCTCCAGATTCGAAATATCAGATTCTTTTAAGCCTCCCGTATCAGAAGAAGAGGAAGGAGGTCCTACTGCTCCACAAGATTTACGTGTTGCTCCTCCTTTGCGTGCAGAATGTTTGGGTGTTGATAGCAAAGCAGCAGTTTGACTAGCAGTGAAATGAGTTTTCCTCATATTACTGATATCAAAATGTGCCCCCTCCGACTGTGAGGAATCATCCTTAACACTACGAGCCGAATTACTAGAATCTTGCGTCATCGACACTTCCGAAGTTTCCATAGAACGTACACTTGGTGTGTCGGACACTTTCTCTTCGAAAGGTATCTTAATGGGACTACCTGAACGTTGAGAACTATTGCCATTACTCGTACGTGAGTCCTGACCACCCATGACTCTTACCAATTCCCTTACAGAAACTGAGGCAATTTCACTCATATCTGAGGGCTTAAAGGAATAATCCCTAGGCGAGTTGGGTTCATTATCACCCTTAAACCATTTCTGTAAAGCCTGCAGTTTAATAGCTCCTCCACCCACAACACCAGCTATAGCAGAACCTATTTGATTAACTCCCGCCGAATTAACGGAATTGAAGCAATCCTCTGATTTCGTTTCAGATGCACTACCAAATGGTTGTTCTGGTTTGGGATCGGTATCGGCACATATAAACGGATTAGTGGAGACATGAGGAAAATCGGGTGCTTTTGATGAGGTGGAAGATATAGCAAAATCAAATACATTTTTCGAGGGTGATTCCGGTTTATCATTGGTTGCCGGAGGTGATTCCAAAGAAGCTGTAATAGGTTCTAAATTATCCAAAATATCACGAGCTTTTGGTCGATTATCTCCTACTGCCGACGGTAAAGGAGACATGGGCTGCACTTCGGCATTCGCATCAGCTAAATTATTTTCATTGCTAGTAGCTGTTGCATTCGCAGTAGTCGGTTCAACTACCGGATGTAAGAGAGTTTTGGCCAAATGTTGATTGTATTGCAAACACCAGGCCTCCGTAGGATACCAACCCATGGTGCAATGTTGTCTTATAGATTCGGTTGATAATCGCAACCATACACCATCATCATTTTCGATTTCATCTATGAACGATATAACGCCATTCAACTTGACCACGCCCACTTGTTCGGACTGTAAAGTGGGATGGGAACGTATGCGCAGACCAGCAGTATTTTTTGTATAGAATTTCCTTAGTTTATTAGGAGTATGAGGGTTCTTCATTACTCTCTTATGAGCCGGTGGTGGTATACTGCCCTCTTTTACTTCCACGCGATAAACTTCTTCCAATAGTATACCATCTATGGTAACGGTTAGACAATAACTACCCACCGCATTGGGGGTCCAATGTACACTAAATGTACCATCTTCCATATCTTGAGCATAAAGAGATTCCGTTACTCTTGTTTGTATGGGACTGCTGTAGCGTAATTCTTCGAAAGAATAATTATTGTAGGATTTCATAAATGTTATGGCTTTGAAACACATTTTTTCCTTAATTGTTGGTTCATAATTTTGACGTGGTGGTGGAGCTATTCCTCCATAATAGGTTTCAGTTTGGGAAGCACGTCGTACCTTCATGTTCCCATTGCCTGAGGAGCCGGTAGGTATGGCTTTGATTTCAACCTGTGGATAATAAAAATATGAAATTAATAAATTGAATAGTAAATGAAAGGGAACCCTTAAAAGAAAGTAAAGGGAATATAAGACCATAATAGATCAATCAATGCATTATATGGATAATAATGCATCGAAAGAACCGAACGTAATGCAGTTTATTTGGTGGAACCAAAAAAGTCATATCTATTATGAGCTGCCAACCTAGCCAGACTTTCTCTGGGATAAGCTTCACTTGAATATTATTGTAGTTTATTAAAAAATCAATTTTAATGTTTAAAAAGCGCATATTTTTTCAATAAATTACCATTTATTAAGTTTTCAAATTACTGCTTTAAATGCATTTCCTGTTTATGAAAGCACCATTAAAAACTTACAACAAAAGCATTAATTATTTGACATATAATTTCGCTTTTAATATGACAACATTAAATCTAACCACATGGCAACAGTGTGTACAGTAAACAGGTGGTTGCAATTGACCCACTTTGAAAAAAAAAAACTCCAACTTACCTTTAGTTCGGGCACAACTATAGCATCCCCATATTGATCTCGTATAGTCACCGTAATTTGTGTTGGCCAACCGTAACGTAATGGTTCAGTAATCGTATTTAATTCGCATCTATAATGGAGAAGGGGGAATAGAAAAATTAAATGGGGTTGTTGGGCAAGTTAAACTAGAAAAAAAAAACAAACTCACTTATTGGGATCTAAACGTGGCTCAGGTTGTAGCCAGGCGGCTAAACGGGCGCCAGCCGAACCAGGAGCACCACTTATGAAATCCTTTAAAAATTGACGTTCATTTGATTGGGATCTAAAAATAGAAAGAATAAACATACATTTTAGCTATTTCAAAACCAAAAACATTCAATTGTTTTTATTAAAATATTTGTTTTTATTAAAGATAACTCTAAACCATAAAAACTATTGTATTTTTGCTGATAAATGGAAAACTATTTTTAGGTAAAAACCCTTATTTTATAAACCAAAACACATTGTCCACGACATTTTTGTAATGACAAACAAATAGATTACTTAACACAAACACTAATAGTCATATACCTAACCTAATGAATACCTACTACACATTAACATTACATACTTATGGGTAAACAATATTGTTATCAGTTATTGAACTTTATTTTTCAATATTTTTGATTCCAATTCATTTCAACTCATTCCCTTGCTCACACTCCCCTACCTGTTTTAGTAACAATTACTTAAGTCAAGACAAGTATAGTCATGTCTTAAACTTATTTAACCTCTTCGTCGTGAAAATGTTTAACTATTTATTTATTTCATAATATAATAAATAATAAATAACACAGGCCAACAAAATGGGCAAAAGTCTTGATTAAAAGTCATATTTGAAATGGTACTTATTACAAATTGAGTACTTTTTAGGTTTTAAGACTGTATATTAGACTATAGACTGTACTACAAATTAGATTGTAGACTTAACTATAGTATGGTGTATAGTCTAGTCTATAGTCTAGTCTATAGTCTAGTCTATAGTCTAGTCTATAGTCTAGTCTATAGTCTAGTCTATAGTCTAGTCTATAGTCTAGTCTATAGTCTAGTCTATAGTCTAGTCTATAGTCTAGTCTATAGTCTAGTCTATAGTCTAGTCTATAGTCTAGTCTATAGTCTAGTCTATAGTCTAGTCTATAGTCTAGTCTATAGTCTAGTCTATAGTCTAGTCTATAGTCTAGTCTAGTCTAGTCTAGTCTAGTCTATAGTCTAGTCTATAGTCTAGTCTATAGTCTAGTCTATAGTCTAGTCTATAGTCTAGTCTATAGTCTAGTCTATAGTCTAGTCTATAGTCTAGTCTATAGTCTAGTCTATAGTCTAGTCTATAGTCTAGTCTATAGTCTAGTCTATAGTCTAGTCTATAGTCTAGTCTATAGTCTAGTCTATAGTCTAGTCTATAGTCTAGTCTATAGTCTAGTCTATAGTCTAGTCTAGTCTATAGTCTAGTCTATAGTCTAGTCTATAGTCTAGTCTATAGTCTAGTCTAGTCTATAGTCTAGTCTAGTCTAGTCTATAGTCTAGTCTATAGTCTAGTCTATAGTCTAGTCTATAGTCTAGTCTATAGTCTAGTCTATAGTCTAGTCTATAGTCTAGTCTATAGTCTAGTCTATAGTCTAGTCTATAGTCTAGTCTATAGTCTAGTCTATAGTCTAGTCTATAGTCTAGTCTATTGTCTAGTCTATAGTCTAGTCTATAGTCTAGTCTATAGTCTAGTCTATAGTCTAGTCTATAGTCTAGTCTATAGTCTAGTCTATAGTCTAGTCATAGTCTAGTCTAGTCTATTTTTTAAACCTTTGATAAAAGTTTATGGGTGAAAAATTTGTTAGCCTGTGCCGCAGGCAAATGTTGTTAACTATAATTTTTTAGTTAAAATATTGAATTAATTAACAAAACAATTGTTATTTTCAAACGGTAGCTGCATATACATAATTATTATCAGTCATTATTATAATTTTTTTTATTATCATTGATTGTCTAAATCACTAAACAATAGTTACAATTATTAGTCCCCATAAGTAAGTATTTAACTTTTACTGATTTTTTTTAAACGGAAGATATTACAACAAACAAATATGTATGGCTGTATTTATGTATAAAACAACAATAAAAAATAAAATTTATTTGTTATGACAGACTTTATGATAATGCATCCGCATTTATTATTTTTTCTACATTTTAAATTCACTTTTTTCTTGTCTCTTTAAAAATATTAGGGTTATTAACAGGGATGTGTAAAATATTGAAGGCTTTATAGATTATTGGATTCTAGTCCTTAGCTTCCGATTCCACCCAATCTACTTTATTTGTAAATTAAAAAAAAAAAAAAAAACTTTTAGAAAATTTCCACAAAAATTTTAAATATTTAAACTTCAAACACTAATACTAAGATTTTGTAGTATTATACTAAAATTTCAAGTCTATATACTAGGACTCCAGGGTCATATAAGAAGACTTTAAAATATTCTAAGAAGACCTCATATTCATAAATGCAAAATCTTAGATTGTGAACTACAAAGAATTCAAAGTCTAATATTAACACTCAAAAGTCTTATACTAAGGCTTCAAATTCTAACAGAAGACTTGAAAGTCTTTTGCTGAAACTTAAATGATTATACTGAGAATACAAAGTCTTCTACTAAGACTTCATTATGTCAATATGGATTCTTTAGATACTAACGCTTAAAAGACTTACACTAAGAGCTTTATATTCAAAATTCAAAATTTTATACTTTATACTGAGTCTTTACTGAGACTTTAAAATCTTATACCAAAACTGTAAACTCTTATACTTTAAACTCTTATACCGTGACAAAAAACTCATATACTTATAATATTTATCACTAAAGGCCCAACTATAATGTGCATAAGCTTGCTTAAGGTAATGTAACAATCGAACGAAAAGTCTCTCAAATGTTTAAGAAAATCCGAGGAAACTTTTAGGTGGCTATAATGTACTTACGTGTATTCAAAACAATTTAGCTCCATTTACACATTTATGTGACACACGTAATAAAAAAAATACATATTTCAAAATATTTTATTGAAATAAATTAATTTTCTTTTAGCTTTCCATTTTTTTCTTTATTTTCTTTGTGTATAATAAACAAACAATTGATTCCGTACGTAATGTGCTGTCAGTATCGCTCTTTGCTTAAGCAAATAAAATTTGACGAAACTTGACGAAACTCTCTTAAGTACATTATAGTTTGTCACATACATTTTATATGTGTTCGCACAGTTGCTTAAGCTGACTTCAGTTTGTTTAAGCATATTATAGTTAGGCCTTAAGACTTTGAAATCCTAGTATGTATATGAATTTGAAATCTCAGACTTAAAAGTCTTATACAGAGACTTACGAAGTCTTACACTGAGTTCTAGTTCAGTTCTAGTTCAGTTCTAGTTCAGTTCTAGTTCAGTTCTAGTTCAGTTCTAGTTCAGTTCTAGTTCAGTTCTAGTTCAGTTCTAGTTCAGTTCTAGTTCAGTTCTAGTTCAGTTCTAGTTCAGTTCTAGTTCAGTTCTAGTTCAGTTCTAGTTCAGTTCTAGTTCAGTTCTAGTTCAGTTCTAGTTCAGTTCTAGTTCAGTTCTAGTTCAGTTCTAGTTCAGTTCTAGTTCAGTTCTAGTTCAGTTCTAGTTCAGTTCTAGTTCAGTTCTAGTTCAGTTCTAGTTCAGTTCTAGTTCAGTTCTAGTTCAGTTCTAGTTCAGTTCTAGTTCAGTTCTAGTTCAGTTCTAGTTCAGTTCTAGTTCAGTTCTAGTTCAGTTCTAGTTCAGTTCAAGTTCAGTTCTAGTTCAGTTCTAGTTCAGCTCTAGTTCAGTTCTATTTCAGTTCTAGTTCAGTTCTAGTTCAGTTCTAGTTCAGTTCTAGTTCAGTTCTAGTTCAGTTCTATTCCTGTTCTAGTTCAGTTCTCTAGTATAAGAGATTACATACTAAGATTTAAAAGTGTTATACTAAAATTTCAAAATCGTATACTAAAACTTTTACTAAGCCTTCAAAGTTTTGTACTAAAACTTCTTATACTAAGGTTTGAAAGACTTAAAGTCTTATACTAGGACTTCTAAGTCTTATACTATGATTTCAAAGTCTTATACCACGACTTCAAAGTCTTATATAAAGATTTTGACCATTTCTAATATCTAATCTGAATACCCCTGTTAATATTGTAAATTTTCTCAAAATTATTTTTTTTTTCAAAATGTCTATAAAATACTTATACCAACACATCAATTATAGACGCATTCAAATAAAATGTATTGTAATGCAAAATATTGCTATTTTACGTCGCTATGGTTATAACGTAAAGTATGTCTGTCTGACAGTTGGGCGGTCAGTCAGTCAATCATAACAAAAACCTCTGACTAAAGTTTAACAAAGCTAAATTTGTTTAAATTTATACTTTTGTAAAGTTATTAGTGTCTAGTACATACTTATATACTACAAACACATAATTATCAAATGTAAATTTTTTTCTATACAACAATAATAACAACAAATCACTGTTTACGAATAGAGTAAAAGGCAATACTGCTGCTGGACGCAGTAGAAAAATAAAAACATATAGACCATAATAATAAAATGTCATTAACTTTGAAAACTGCAAATAAAATATGTAAATAAATCGTTAATTTTTATAAAGAATAAATAATATTTATGTGTATTTTCTACATCTACTGTTTACTTATTTAGATAAGCCGCATATTTATAAAATATATATGTATTTCTGTTGAATTTAAAGAAAATATAAGAAATATAAAGGCATTGATTTATTATTTATTAATGTGTTTAAGAGCAGTTAAGCAGAGATGTTGGAGGAATGAGAGGAATTTACTAAGAAGATAAACAAATATTATAATTTGTATTTTAAATATTTTTATTTAATCGTAGTTTGTAATGTACTTGAAGGTCGATGATTATATACTAAGATTATATACATATTAGTATTGAATTAAATAGCTGTAAAAACCTAAACTTAGTTTTAACACTCTTTTATATCCCTCGCATGTATACAAGTTTATTTAAAAAATTCTGTTAAAAATTAATTTGTCTGGATATCAAGCTTGTAAATAAAGCAATTTTATAAAAATAACCTGTTACCGTTTCTTTATCAATTACAAATACCAGTTATGATCAAGCGTTTAATTAGTTTAACTCCTACGGTGGCAATTTAGCTCACACCATAATTGTCTTGAAACTGCATTCTATAGTTTTCCATATCAATCTTTCCATGTATTCCCTTTCAAAAGGTTAATGAACAAAGTTCATAGTTTACATCTCTATAAAAAATTTAT